AACCACCAGCCTTTCAGTTAGCAGCTGAGCGCTTAACCACTACACCACCGGGGCTCTCTATAGCTTTGTGTATTCCAGACATTTCATATAAATGGAATCATACCATACGTAATCTTTGTGACTGGCTTCTTTCACTTCACATAATGTTGTCAAGGTTCATCCATGCTGTAGCATGTATCAGTACTTCATTCCTTTTTATGACCGAAAGATAACATTCCACTGTATGGTTATCTCACATTTTGTTTATCAATTTGCCAGTTGATGAACAGATAGAAACTTTATATGAATAACTCTTACGACTTTTCCACTCAGATCAGGATTTCTTGGTTTAAGCCAGGTAGGGTAAAATGGAACCCTGGTGGTGTGATGGTTATGCACTCGGCTACTATCCCAAAGGTTGGTGGTTCAGATCCACTAGAGGCTCTGCAGGAGAAAAGATCTGACGATCTGCTCCCGTAATGAGTACAGCCTAGGAAACCCTATGGAGGCAGTTCTACTCTGTCCTATAGGATCGCTATGAGTTGGAATCAACTCGAAGACACAACAACGGAGAGTAATATGTGGGCCTGCGTTTGGTGACTGCCAACTGGGCCGATCGCCCTGCGCCTCTGCACTCACAGCCCAATGCTCTGCTTCCATGTGTTGCAGTCTCATGCTGGCGTGCTACGCGGGACACCTAGATGTTGTGAAGTATCTCCGAAAACACGGTGCTTCCTGGGATACCAGAGACCTGGGAGGCTGTACAGCTCTGCACTGGGCAGCAGACGGCGGCCACTGCAGTGTGATTGAGTGGATGATCAAGGAAGGCTGCGAGGTAGGGGCCTGCCTCCTTAACCACAGAAGTATTGTTACGTGGAGTCTCGGGGTAGTACAGATGGTGAACGTGCTCGGCTGCTAACTGAAAGGTTGGAGGATCGAGTTCACGAGAGGCAGGTCAAAAAAGGGCCTGGTGATCTACTTCAGAAAAATCAGCCACTGAAAACCCTGTGGAGCAGAGTTCTACTCTGACACACATGGGGTCACCGTGAGTCAGAGTCAGCTTGACAGGAACTGGTTTTTATGTAGCTGCTGTTGATTGGTTGAACTCAGAAATGCTTGACTTACCAGCAAGAAGGTTCCTGAAGCCTTGGAAAAGAGATCACCTTAAAATGGACATGATGATGAGACCTGAAGTTGTCGCAGAGGTTCACCTCATGTAGAAAAATAGAAATGGTGCTTGAATCCAAGGCTGGACCTGATGCTGCTTCTAGTTTGTTGATTTCTTTGCTCGTTCACTCCTTTGTCTCTTCATTCCGTCCATCAGCAAAGCTTTATCGAGCATCTCCCGTGCACCAGATGCTGGCTTAGGTGCTGGGGACACCAGCATGTTAAGAATCCTTAGAGTCCACAGTGCTTCTGCTTGTTGCTTTAAAAATTAGGCTATTTTTTATGCCCGGTTAACTTTAAAGATTATAGTCATTGCAGAACATTTCTAAGAGCCAACTGTCTGTATCAGGAATGAAGTATGTCAGCCCTTAGAGTCTCTACCTGGAGGGCAGGTGTGCTTGCTTGTCTGCTTTTGATTTCATGCTAACAGTAAGTTCAAGTTTGACTCAGTGAATAGAAGTGGAGTTGTTTAGACTTCTAAAGATATTTAAAAGTGGGTAAATAGAACTCGAGCTCAAACATAGCAATGATTGTGTGAGGATGGTGCGGGATCAGGCAGTGTTTCTTTCTGTAGTACGTAGGGTCGCTGTAAGTCGGAACTGACTCCATGACACCTAACAACAAATAGAACTAGATCACTTATGGTAAGGTCTAATAATTTGGAAAACTTTAGTTCAAGACTTGGAAGACATTAAGTAAAAATTTTAAGGCATGGAACTAAGGAATGATGAACAAAATGTTGCCCTCGTTGTGACTGCCAGACGATGTTGAGTGTTGAGACATTATTAAATGGATGACCTGGAAAATTAATTCAAATTGAGCAGAGCTGTGCCTCCTGGAAGGTGTTAGATTTGTTCTAGGTTGCTTCCAAAGTGTGACTGAGGAAAGCGAGGTGTCAGCTGTGGGTCCTCTGGAGTGTGATGTGCTGTGGCTGCTGCCACCTTTGGAACTGAGGACAGTGTCCCCTGCAAGGAAAAATCTCAGCCAGTAAGAAAATTCCTTTTGATTACAATTCTGTGTGTGTGTGTTTAAAAAACACATTTTAGAAATATGCACGAAAGGCCAGAAGGAATAGCCTGTGCCCTTAGAGCTAGGGCCTGGCTACACTCGCCATATGTGGTAGCAACAGCTAGGCTTCCCTTGTTTAAGATGACCTCCGCTCACGTCTCGGACTCTTTGAAAATGAAAGTTGACCTTTGCCAAAAGAAGAACAGGTTTCAGAATAGAGCAGGTCTCTGCCATGAACATATGAATATTGGAACTTTGGGAAGGAAGGCTGTCTGGCTTCAGAGGTGGGCACACTTTGTTTGGGATGGATGCCATCTTTCTCTGTAGCAGCAGAGCTGGTTT